GTCTCGACGCCGGTTGGGATCCGAGGCATCGGTGCGTCGGCGGCCATCCTGCTGCAAACGCCAGCTATGCATGTCACCTCTAGGCTGAGTAAGAACTGCCAATGAGTTGTTTTGCGTCCTGGACGTAGCCCGCCATGTGGTCGGCCATTTCCAAGACATCCAGATCTATGCGAGCAAAGCTTGCCACATTGGACCTCAACACATGCCAGGAACAAACCTATGTTCAGGAATCGTACGATGCTTGGGATAAGTGCTTGACAGTGGCGTTGGTTCGTAGCCTCTGATTCGGTACTCTGCTGCGACAGGCGCTAGCAGAGTCCACAGCGCAAGCTTAAGGGCGAGCATCTGTGCGAGCATCTGTCGGAGCAGGTAGAAGAAAAAGCCTTGATTTGAGCCATGCAGCTTGCAGAATCAAGCTTGCAGCATGCCCGATCCCACCGCGAGGCGATGATTGTTCGCTTGTCTGCAAAGCTGTCCAGTCTGGGGAATAGCTTAGCAGCACAAGAAGGTTCCGACTTTGACCGTGGACGAAACCTTCTCACGGGCAAAACTGTCCCGCAACACCGGCCACAGAACAGTGCAGCCTACCCAGGAACATGAACTCCCTGAAGCTGGGCTACGAGATGCTACGAGTCATCTCTTGGCAGCGCTCTTTGCATCCTTTTTCATGCCACGGCAGTCCCCTTCGCAGACATGCGGTCCCACAAAGCCACCTGGCAAGATGCTGCCGCCGATCTACTTGAAGCGAAAAGGAGCAACCTCCCTTATCGGAATTGCTCGGCCGGGCACTCCCAGCTCCACGCCGCCGAAGGTCGCAGCGTTCACGACGAAGGCCCGCTGCATTGCAGCACCTCACGAGAACGGCGTCAGCAACCAGTGCTGCCGTTGCCGGCATCCAACCGTCCAACAGAGAACACGCCCTGAAAGACCGGTTAAATTACACACACCTCGACTCAAGTCGCGGCGATGATACCCTGTGTGGTCGGCTCTACACACTACGCGTTTCGTCAACTCCTGAGGCTGGTGTTTCGAGAGACTTAAAAGCTTGGAAGACATCGCACATCAAGCTAAATAGCATGAAAATGCAGCACTTCAAACAAGTCGCCCCGCATAGGTTGAGAAAGCCTGTGCACATCAACCGAACACGCCTGAAAAACAACTAGCTTTGTGCAAAAGACTACCCGGCCGTGACTTGGCGACTGGAGACTACACCTCGGTTTTTGATCCTTCTGGGCAGACCGAGGCACTGAAGCCGCGCAGGAAAAAGGCCGCGCCCTCGTTCCGCAGGCCTCACCGATTCCATCTTCCACGGACAACGAGAAATGCCTTCTTCCGCTTCCCATCCTTCTGCGATGATGTGGCGCGTGCTTCGCTGCTCCGCAGTAGCCTCAATGCTCATGAAGATCGAACGGCGAGGAGCTAGATCCGTTGAAGGAGTTAAAGGATACGTGCCTGGGCTGGAAGGCTTTGAACACGGGCCTTCACGACATCCACCGGGTGGATCATGCCTGACACGAAAATCTGCGCAGATCTGCACCCAAGTCTCGGCCCCCAGGGCCCAGGCCGAGGGCAAAGCAGCCCGCCATGCCGCCCGAGAAGAGCGTGGACAGCACAGCCTTGAGGCTGAGACAAGGCGCTTCGGCGAGCCGAGGCTTCGCACTTCTGAGCACCGCGCTGGGGCTCGGGGATCAAGCAAACGCTTGGACTCCTCGTAGACCAGGAAGTAGACACCATACCTTAGCACCGTTGAGCAGCGCTTCGGCCGAAGCTCCCTTAAGAAGCCTTGCAGGATCTCGACGCAGCTTTTGCTTGCCGTGATGCGATGGGCATTCCTTGAGGGCTGTGGGCCCTAAGCCTGAACAATGCAACCACGAGTTTAAAGTGCGGGGAGACACAGAGGGGCAGTCACATCAGTCCCTTTCTTGATGTCAGAATCTGCCCTGCCTTGCAGGCAGCCTTGGCCGAATCCCAGGGCCTTCACTCTCTGCAGCAGCAGCCTCACCTCAAATACCGCATCATTTGAAAGGAAAGCCGCCGGCAGACAGACACTACATGCAGATACATCAGCTTTCCCCCAACCTAGGCACTTCAGCTCCAACAGACAGTATTCCTTCGCCCCTCTCTCCTCCATGGGCCCCCGCCGGCGCTGGCCCTTGGCTTGCCGAGCTCCGCGGTGTAAACTGGACTTGTCTTTGAGTCTTCACCAGATCAACCTGAGCTCGCCCCGAGCTCCGATCTCGTTACTTCGTGCAACGATGAGGGCGGCACAATGCAGACAAGTGGACTCTGAGCCTGGAGCCAGGCCGGTCTTCGAGTTTCGAGGAAGCTTTGACATGCTTGGCACGCCGCCAATCCGGCAATGCAGCCGCCCAGGAAGCCGGTGAGTTGCGGCCGCTCCCTGCTTCCAAAAAAGAAACGGAAGTAGGCAGAGGGCGTGAGAGCAGACTGGTGCACTCTGGGCCCCCTGCTGCCCCAAAGCCTCCTACCATCGAGAACACAAGGCATGAAGTGTGCCGGGGATGCCAGCGCCGATTTGATTCCCAAAAAAACAAAAGCACGCACCTGCAATAAGCGGTCAGAGACCCCTTGAACACCGAAGACCACGGCAGTCAAGAGGGCCCTGGACAGCTCATTCAACAGCACCGCCACAAAAGACTAGCATTCTGCACATTCCTAAGTCTTCGGCGTGCTGTAAAAAGGGAAGGACATGCCCTTGTACAGCGCCAACGGGCCTGTTCAGGTACAGAGCTGTGCACCGCCTGGCCTGTGCTGCCTCTGCTTTTCTCGAAGGCTGTCAGTGACGACAGTTCTTACTGAATCAAGTCGGCGACCAAGTGCATGATCGTTACGACTAAAGTTGCCATAAGCATACGACCACGACGGACAGGGCCCAGCATCTCTGAGCCTTGGGTATGCCCTGAGAATACCGAAGCTGTGCCGTTGAACTGTGGAACATGTTACATACATGTCACATGTCGGATGTCATACAACTGGAGATTTATCCAGCTCTGAGTTGCAAAGAAACTCCCAGTGTTCGGCTCGACACTTGACACGGAACATGTGACTCGCAAACTCACACGAAGCCATACCAAGCCAAAGCTTTCCATTTGTGGCCTATCGCGGAATGCGCTCATATGCAAGTGCACTTCACTTCTGTCCCCCTGCGCAGTTCTGGCCTTCCAGCCGTGCCGTCTCCGCGAGCCTGACAGGCTTTGTCGGCGGCGGTTCTTGAAATTTTCCTTACTAAGCAGGTTTCAGAAGACATTGAGCTGGGAATCTGGCACGCGCCAGGTGCCGTAGCCGTCGAAACGCGGCATCGCCTGGATCCGTGTTTTCGCCTCACAAACTCACAGCCATGTGATCCAATCCCCTTTCATGTTCCTCAGCAAGCCCGGCCGTGTCCAACGGATGCCCGGCCAAGATGGCCACCATCCCGCCGATCTGCAAAACGGGAACAGCAAGAGAAAAACTGGAAAAACTCGTGCCGGTGCGCCGGGCTCCGCACGGTACCACTGGCGAAGTCCCGGGCCGCTGATTCATCCACCTGGGAGCACATTCTCTGCGCTTGCCAACGATTCGAAGGCTGTCCACACTTCCAGCAAGTTAAGCCTGAGACCGACATGGCCGTATCGAGTCAAGGTTCAATGGTCGTAGGCCACATCAAGGTTCAGGATCTTCGGTGTTGAAAACTGCTGGATGAAAGGTTTTCACGATGATTCTGGAGTGTTTGGATACCTGGGCCCAGGTGACCCGTTCCCAACATTGCGACTATGCGATGACTCATGACGGAGGCATTCCTCAAACATCCACACTGCTCTAAAGGTAGCTGGGATGACGGAAGCTCAAGTTGGAAAGACTTCGGGGCACCATCACCACATTAAGCCAATCACAGCTACGATGACGGAACTCGACCACACAGAGCAATGCTTGGAAAAAGGAGCTCGACATGCAAGGATCGAAAAACAAAGGCTGCAAAAGAATACCTACCGAGATAAGCCAGGACAGGACAAAGACCTTGACATTCACAAGCACACCTCGACAGCTGCTTCGTTCGACGGTCAAACTCAGACCATGTTTTCGGTAGTAGGTTGGAATCTCGGTATGCATGACGAATCATAAAATCTTCCCCCTTACCAAGCGCATCAAAACAACACTTTGCTTCATGAGGCGCAGAGCCGCCCTGTCGTCCTAGCGCTCGTTGAAGCTCCAAATGCAGGACAGCAGAGCTGTGTCGGGATGTGCAGCGGCCGTCCTTCTCAAAAGGTTGGCTATTTCACAACCTGAGCCAAGAGCAGCTGTAAGTTACAGAAGCTCTTTGAAGCTCTCTTTGTGCCTCCCCTTCTCAAGCCCTCTTCAAGCCCCTTCTCAATTGAATTGTTTGAGAATTCTAAATCGAGAATTCGAAGGGGGCTTGAAGGCCCTTCTCAGCCCTAGAAAGAGCTTCAATCAATTGAATTAATTCTCGTCCTCTTCAAAAATTCAGATGGAGCACACATGCGCATGGTAGATGTGAAAAACCTGAAGGCAAAAACATGACCAAGAACAAATCACATGATGTAACAGTGGAATGCTAGAAGGCCAAAACCTTCAAACACATGCTTACTGTAAGGGCTGCAACTCGTG